CCCTCTCTCTCTCTCTCTCTCTCTCTCTCTCTCCTCCCTCCCTCTCTTCTTCCTTAGTGGTGAAGACTGAGCACAGGCCTTTGTGCAGACAAGCATGCTACCACAGAGCCACACTCCCAGCCCAGATGTGTTGCTGAGTGAAAGAGAGCAATACACATAAAGTCGGGTCAGTTATGGACAAATGTTCCCCACAGATCCACAAATGAGAGCATGTACAGCGAATGCTTTGGAGAGACAAAGATGACCACAGTGTTTGTGTTTAAAGAAAGCAGGAAAGCGACCGAAGCTGGGAGTGCCACTGTGGCCTTGTAGAGGGGAATTTTAACCTCATCTGTAACTTTTTTGGGCATAGGGTTCCATGTATCTCAGGCTGGCCTCCACCCTGCTGTGTAGTCAAGGACGATCTTGAGTTCCCGTTTCCATCTTCTGAGCTCAGGCATTATAGATGCATTACACTCTGCCCAATCCATGCAGTGTTGGGGCCTGAACCCCCGGCCTCCTGCATTCTAGGCAAGCACTCTCCCAACCAAGCTATGTCCTCAGCCCCTCATGCAATTTCAACCCTCCAATGAACAAAGATTTTGAAGAAAGTCAAGCCAAGAGCTGTCTATCGGTTGGGTGCAATTGGTGTTTGCATCCCGACGTCAATGCCTGGTATCTAGCTTCCAAAGCTTGCTGGAGATACTTACACACACACACACACACACACACACACACACACACACACACACACACGAATCTTCCTCTAATTTCAACTGAACAGTTTCCTAAACAGGATTAAGAAACAGCAATCTGTTTTGCAAGCAGTGGTTGCCCAGTTATCACACAGGAAGCTGGGCTAAATTCGAAGGGCTGGGAAGTTTGGGAAAGTCCATCAAGGAGAAGGGAGAGTAGAGAGATGTGTGCACTGGCTGGGGTGTTCCCTCCCTCCATGACTGTAGTCTGGAGATGTAGCAGTTCCAGGGGTGCCTTCCAGAGACCTTCCCTGGCGCAGGGAGCTGAGGCGTGACTGCTGAAGCAATGCTTGTGTGGAACCTCTTTCCAGGGAGTCATCTTCTGATCTTCCAAGTTCTCAGGGGCCTGGGAGCACCTAACACAAACAGGGCCTTGCTAGATGAGGGAGAAACAGAGTCCAGGTAAGGGAGGGTGCCGGCCTTGCAGAGGCCCCAAGTGAGGCACGGTTAAGTGGTCAGAATCATTGGGAAGCCACAGAGCATCTCCAGGCTCTGGGCACCCTGGGCCCATAACCCATGCCCTGAGATACAGGCTGGGGGCTTAGAGAAGTCTTTGCTTTAGAATTCTCCCCTCCCATGGGTAGAGAGTTCCAGGCATTGGCCTTCTTTCTCAGAAGTATTCCTTGTTCTTGCTGCCTATGGAAAGGCAGGGCCAGCCTCCCAGCTGGTGGGAGCCCACAGTGTTCTCAGCGTTGACATCTGAAATCTCTGTGTGACTGACCTGGCCTGCCTGGGTGACCCACACTCTCCTGTTTCAAGACCTTCATAGCTGCCTGGGCCCTTAAGTACAAAAATTCACAAGAGTGTTGGGCCTTGGGCCCTGTTTGTCTCCCCAGCCTATTCTAGTGACCACTCTGTCCCTGCATTGAAATGGTCTGAGTGACGTCTACTAGGTTTGGTGTTTGGGGGTATCTAGAATGCCCTCTCCAATTTGTGTTTATTTAATCACCCCCAAATATCCTTCAAGACAGAGCATAAAGCATGGGTCCCTCAAGGAAGTCTTTTTTGGTATCCCTGACCCCCAGTTGATCCAAGGGCTTTGACACTCCATGAGAGTTTTGTGTGGGTATGTAAGATGCCGTTTGCTTGCTTTTGGCTTCCTCACTATGAGTTCCTTGAGGAAAAGGCTCACACTTTGCTCCATGGAGTGTGTTTCCCGCCCAGTGCAGCCCAACACTCAACATATGCAAGGGCTTAATAAATACCCATTAAAGAAAAGGTCAGGAATAACGGCAGAGGCCATTAGATAAAGAGCCGTGACTTGAAAGCCAGAGAGCCTGGCAGATTATTCTGAACTGTACCGCACTGGTATCCTTGGCAACAGCGTTTCCTCGTTGGACTTTCTTCTTATGATCTCTGTTAAAAAAAAAAAAAAAGCCATCACTGTCTCTTCCTTCCAATCACGTAAAAAGGGCTGATGAGGGCCACGGGGAACAGGTGCTGTCATGCTTGCCTGCTGGAAGGTTGGAGTGACGTCCACATGCGCGGCATTGGGCAACAAATTCTAAAGGCCTAAAATTGTGCAAGCCCAAATTTTACTGCTAAGATATTTTGGACAAAAGAGAAGCAAACTCACCTAAGAGAACTAGATGGCAGGAAATAATCAAATTGAGAACTGAAATCAACAAAATAGAAACAAAGAAAACAATACAAAGAATCAATAAGACAAAGAGTTGGTTCTTTGAGAAAATCAACA